ATGGACATGTTGAGCAAGAGTGAGTACCCAGCGGCGGGGTAGGGCTGGCGGGCCCGGCAGACTCACCAGGTCCGTCAGGGGAAAGCGACGCAAAGCGACGCAGAGCGAGAGAGTGCGAGCGAGAGCGACACCGTCGTTCGTCAAAACAGATCGGGCCGACGGCTCGCCTCGCCTCGCCTCGGCCGCGGCGGCAGAGAGACGATTAGAGTCCCCTGTCTCGCCTGGATCGTAATTTATGGGTTCTGGTTAGCGCTGCGGGGGTGATTAGACACGTACGAGGAAAAAAGAAAAAAAAGGGGGCTAGAGAGCTCCGCGCCGGGCGGGTAGGCAACGCGCAGCGCAGGCGTGTGCGATCAGGTCTGATCGGCTCCGGGGACTCGCCCGACGGGACCAGATTATCCCATCCACGTCACGCGCCACGCCACGCAGCCGCGGGCCGTTCGATTAGTGATGGTTCGAGCTATCGATCGTGTTCCTCAGGTGGTCCTGACCAAAGTCCACTCGCCGGGCGGGGCGGGGCGGGGCGGGCGAGACAGCTCCTGGGGTCCTTTGGCCGTTTGCCTCGATGAACTCTCTCGCTTCACTGCTCTCTCTTACACCTCCCCGTTTTCTCCGTCAGTGGCTTGCTTGCCCCCGGTGATCGGGAAACGGGCAGAACGCGCTCGCCTCCCGCCCGCGCGAGCTAGGCCTGGGCCCTCCGGCCATGACCGACGAGCAAGCACGGCGAGAGGTCGTGCAAGGAAGGTGGCCGATGTATCGCCGTCGCCGTCCCCGCTCACACCACCGACAGCACCCGGGCCTTCGAGGAGGACAGGCTCGGAGGCGAACCGCACCGTGGAGGCGAGCCTGGCGGCGGCGGCGGGGCAGCTGGACTTTCTCCCGTCCATTTCCGCCGTTCGGGCTGGAGCTCGGCTGCCCATTGTCGTATTATTGGTTTAAGCGATTCACCTCCTGGCGCCGTAGAGGAGGCGGGGGGCAAAAGGGGCAGCGGGGTCGAGGGGGCACACCCAGCACGCTACGCCCCGCCTTGTCCGCCCCGCCGGCCCGGCCGCGACCACTACTTCTCCTTTCATTGTGAGCACGAAGGCCTGGATCCCTAGGCTTGCACGTGCGTGAGGCACTGCATCTCCTCGGCGGGTGCGCGGCGCGAGCGGGGCCAGCGCAGCAGGAGGTTTTGCAAGGCGGCGGCTTGCAGCTGGTTGCTCCCGTGCGTCGCCCCGTGTCGCCACGGTGTCCCCTCCTGTCCTCCTGCGGGTCCCGCCCCCCGCCGGGGTTCTGTCCGCCTCTTGGGGGCACGTCGACCTTGGGGAGCGTGGGTGGCTGGCGGAACATATTATAACCGTACGTTTTTGTTTTCTTTCTTTCTTCGCCGTCATTGTTGTGAAAGGGGGCCCCCTGTTGTCTTCGTCCGTCCGCCCACGACTCGTTCTGCGGTGACAATAATTGCACAGTTTTTGAGGTTGCGGCGTGAAGTGTCAAGCCGTCAGTCAGACCAGTGCCAGATGCCGGGGTGCCCCTGGGAGCCCGGCGGGCCGTGTGGTCACCTACGAGTTACCCTCGCACACTTCTACAAAAACTGTGCTCGAAATGTTAGCGCACCGGTTAGGGTGTGTGAAGTTTTGCTGGTCCCCGACAGCACTATTCCAATGTGTCCCCACCGTCGTCCTTTTGGAACCCCTTTCCGCTCGGCGAAGGCGTCGTTGCAGTAAAAGGTGAGATATCTCGCCTCGCCCCGCCACGCTACGCTGCGCCACGCCACGCCACGGCTCAGACACCACCAACCCCTCGCCTCCCCTCGCTGTCGCCAACGGAGAGTGACAGTTGCGCGTCCCGACGGAGGCGACAGTCCAGATTGCTGATGAGTCTGGCGATAAGCTGCGAGGCGAGGGGCGCGAGGGGCGGCAGGTGCAAGCGGGTGGAGGGGGGGGGGGCAATGCAGACAGTTTACCCGACCACGAGGGAAAATGAGGGAGATTCTGCCGACTCATGTCGCTCTTGCGAAACGGCGGCAAAGAAGAGCGCGCCTCTGATGTTCTTCGGCGTCTCTGGTCCGGTCTTTGCCCCCCCCCCTCTCACTCTGGGCCGGACCCTTCCGTTTCCCTTGGGCAGAGGTGTGGGGTGGGGTGCGTCAGTCCCTCCCTAGTGTAGGAGACCGAGAGAGAGACACGGTCTATGAGCTGAACTTCGAGCGTGTGAGTGTGAGAGAGAGAGGGAGCAGAAGGTGGAGAGGGGGTTGCTGTTTTCCTATCACCTTCATGGCCATGAGAAATTATGTCGACGTAGTCCTATCCACGTACACGTAGCTGCGACTTTGAGTCCACGTAAACCAATGTAATTCACGTGGACCCAACGTAGAATCTTCGCAATGCCATAGATTCTACGTAGAATCGACCTGGATTCTTCCCGCATGGGGTGTTCTCTCTCTCATATGCAGCAACAGCCACTTCTTTCAGGCCGCCTCCGCCTCTCTCGCGCCAAGCCTTTACGCCCGGGCCCGGCTCCGGGACAGCGCGGTGCGGGCGGCGCGGACCGGGAAGCAGCGGAGCATGTCGCGCTGCAGGACGGGAGACCTCTCGCCTCGCCGCGCCGCAGTTTGTTTTGGAGCAGACTCGCTCGCTCGCTCGCTCTTCCAAAGGGGGAGGGGGAAAGGAACACAGTACACTGCGGGAAATAATACAGCGGGATACAAAAATATTGGGAAAACTAATGTGAAAGAATGACAAATAAAAAATATGCTGCTCGTGACCATTCGTTTCTTTACTGTTGACGCTTCTTGTTTTCCTGCAAGTCCCTGTAAGTGCTTGTTGCACTGACCCCGGTGCGCACGTGTCTGTTGCAGTGATCCCGCAGACCTGCTGGTACAACTCTGAGCAGTTTGACTGCGGCCTCAGCTTGTCGTGCGTCCTGGAGGGCGGCCGGCCCCTGGACCTGTGCTCGGGGGGCCTCATCTGGTCGTGCTGCGTCGCGCCCAGCAAGGTGGAGACGGCCGACCCCAACGTCGGCGCCCTGGAAAACGCGAGTGAGTATAGAGGTGCCGGATAGGAAGGTTCAGTAGGGCAGCCGGAGGAAGTGACGGGGAGGAAGAGAGGGAGAGTGTGGGTAGAGCTGCTAGAGGTGCTAACGGTGGCGCAGCGCTTCCATCCTGGTCCGGCCCAGCACGTCTGTTGTAGTGGTTGTCCCTGTGTGCTCCTGTAGCCCCCCGTAGTTAGGCCGTGCGGCATTGGCCCCCCGATCCCTCGCCACCCAGCCCGTTGTTCCATACGTGGTAAGCAAATAAATACTGTCACTTCCACTACCGACCCCTGCCCCTTGTGCCCCCTTGCTTCACCACCCCACCCCCCACCTTGACGTGTTCGCTTTGCCGTGGCTTGCCGCAGCCCTGGAGTTTCTCCTCCAGCACCACCCCGGCCTCGGGGGTAGCCTGAGCGGCGGCCTCGGGGGCGGGCCAGTGCTGGACAGCGCGACCAGCGCCTCCCGCCCGCACGCGTACTACAGCAACCACCTGGACCGGCCGGGCGCGCCGGGCTCGCCGCAGTCCGACCGGCCCAAGAGGCCCACCTTCTACTACTACTACCACCACTCGACGCCGGCGCCCCCGCCGCCCCTGCCGCCCCCAGACATCTACTACGTGCGGCCGGGGCCCTTCAGCCGGCCCGGCTACCCGGGCGACCCCGGCCACGGCCCGGGCCCCGGCCCCGGCCACTTCGCCAACGGCCTGGGTCACCCCCTGGGCCAGACGGCCGAGTTCGTGAGCGTGAACGGCCTGACCGTGCTCTCGCCCTTCGCGGACAACGGCAGCAGCAGCAACGGCGGCACCAACCACCTGGACACGGGGCCAGCGCGGCCGCCCGAGTACCTCGGCAACAGACCTCTCCTCGTGTCCGCCTCCAGCCATGGCTACGGCCAGACCGCCTCCTCGCCCTCCGCCCGCGGTACGGAACCGCACCACATCAGCCGACAAACCGCACCGCAAGCGCACCGCAACCGCACAGCATCTTGCACCGCACCGCACCGAGCACTTAGTTTTGTACTCTCACTTCTCAGTTGGACCCTCCTTATTCTCTTTCTTCTGCCCCCGAGGAGTACTCACCCACCCACACAACCTTCTGCTGAGACGGATCTGCTGAGGCCAGGCTGGCGCCGCTCTTCCTTCCCTTCTCTTGCCACAACCTGACGCCGGCGATTGACTATTTACAGGTGCATGCTGCATACTTTCAGACGCCGCATCCGAAACTAACTGGGACTTTTTTTTATTTTATTTTTGGGGGGAGTGGGCGGGGGGAGGGCAGGGGCCAGGTGGCTGCTGCTGTCAACAACCTTATTGCTGGAAAAAATTGTGTATCCTTTTGGCAGTAAAAGCGAAACTATGAAGGAAGACTACTTTATGGGTTGGCCTGCTGTCTCGAGTCTTCGCACCGCCCTCCTGGTGGGCACCTCTTCCTTCCGCTTGGTGTGGCTCGGAGGTGAAACGTGAAACACGTGAAAATGACCTCTTTTTGACGTTCGCCTTATTGCGGCTAGGAAGCCAGATTGGCCCCATTTTGACGTCACAAAAGAGGGTCCTTGACGGGTTTTTTAACGATTGTGTTCGACCTGGGCCAGTGCCAAAGGCTGGCGCGACTATGGCGCCTTGTCCTTTCCTTCTAAAGCTTTACCTGCATGCGGAGGAAGCAGACCGGCCTTACCTACTTGGCATGTCCTTGGCGTGTGCTTGACGCGTCCTTGACGCCGTCCTCGCCAAGTCCCCGCCGAGGCCTTTGGTCTGCCGTGACGCAACATTGACGGGTCACCTTGCCTACAGGTTGCGGCGAGCTCTACATGAGGAGTAACCGGATCGTCGGCGGGCACAGCTCCAATTTCGGGTCTCATCCCTGGCAGGTGAGTGTGGCGGTGCCTCTTGCAGCATAGATCACTTCATGTTGAGCGACCAAAACAATTACAACAATTTACAATACCAGTAACCAGGAGGCAATGATTACCTGCACGGTAAATAAAGTTTTTTGTATTCCACGACCCGGTCTTGGCTATCATTCGGGTCCTTGTAAGATCCAAGACCGCGGTCTTGAAATAAAAGAAACTTCTTTTACCGAGTGGTTTGTTTTTCCATCCCTCGCCGTATGCAACGCTTTTGTTCTCTCCGCAGGCCGCCATCATCAAGTCGGGCTTTCTGTCCAAGAAGCTGTCGTGCGGCGGCGCTCTGCTCAACGACAGATGGGTCGTCACGGCGGCGCACTGCGTTGCTACGTAAGTTCGCCGCGTGTCGCTGTTGTCGCACTCCTGGCTGAGGCCGCTCTGTTCTCAAACGCGCTGCTCGCTGCTGCCCCTACAGGACCACCAACAGCAACCTGCGCGTGCGCCTGGGCGAGTGGGACGTGCGGGACACGGCGGAGCGCCTGCACCACGAGGAGTACGCCGTCGAGCGCAAGGAGGTGCACCCGCAGTACAGCCCGACCGACTTCCGCAACGACCTGGCGCTCGTCAAGCTGGACAAGCCCGTCGCCTTCAAGCAGCACATCCTGCCCGTGTGCCTGCCCGACCCCTCCACCAAGCTGGTGGGCAAGACGGCCACGGTGGCGGGCTGGGGCCGCACCCGCCACGGTGAGTTAAACCATTCGAATGAGCGCGCGCTGGGGAGGCGCCTGCGAGACGTGAGGTAGGCCACCCCGCAGAACACGCGTGCACTGCTGTCTGGATGTTGCCTACCTATCAGGCGCCATGAGAGCTTGCACCGCGTCCTGAGCTTGGCAGTTTCGTAACGGTGAATGACGGACGTACTTTCTGGCTGATTCCTGAGCACGAGAGTGTTTTTGACGTCCAACGCATCCTCCTGGCGAAAAGGCGGGTGGCGGGTTTGGAGTCTCAAAATTTTGAATACCGAAAAAAAAAAAAAAAATCAGACAGATTCGCACCACTGCCCTTCAAATCTGGAGAAGCCCACTGAACTCGCGCGGCTACAACGCCACGGTAGAGGCTGCCTACCGGACCGAGTAAGAGTCGTGACTCTACTTAGTCAGGAAGTAACGTATAAGCTCATAATGCCATAGGCTGCCAGTTGGAATCGTGCCTCTGCCGCTCATAATCCGGCACCCGGGCGTGCTGACCCGTCCGAAACTGTCGACCCGATATTAACTACCGGTCCGAGCCAACTTTGTCTCGGTTCTTTCGCCCCGTAAGGTAGCACCAAGTTCTGAACTCGGCGGCTCTAGTAGTACCGGCCAGCCGAGCGGCGAGCGTGCCAGGAAATGGTCCGCTGGACATCGTCGGCCCAGAGATCGACTACCACGGCCGGCGCAAACTTTTTCCTCGCTCTTTGTCTGCCTGCTACGGCGTGGCGTGGACCGTCACAAACTGTCGGCCCAAAGTTCGACTCCCGGCCGAGGCGGGGCAACTTTTTTTTTGTTACTTCTTGTCTCTCCTACGAAAGGACTGGGTTCCGTCGTCTCGCAGTATAGGTGCAGCTGGTAGCCGAGCGCATTAAGGCGTGGTTTACCTGAAGCCATCGGCCTAGAGATCGACTCCCGGCCGGGGTGAACTAATTGTTTCTGATTTTTTTTTTTTTCACGTCTTGTCTCCCGTAAGGCAGGAGTGACCTCAGAACTCTCAACGGGAAGGGTGAGCAGGCAGTCGAGCCTGCTAAAGCGCCCATCGTTGTTACGACACGGCATCGGCTTGGTCGCTAGTTCAGATCCCGTCCCCGGAAATTTTTTCCACTCGCTGCTGGCCGTCCCTGTTTGTAGCTACAAACTACTTCTCTCTCCTCCGCTCTCTACTACGAAGGAGCGAACGCACAAAAAAGACTCTCGCACGCGTGCAATACGGGAGACCAAGACTCGTAAAGCAGCATCGAGTTCTGAACTCGCTGTCGACATGTCCGGCCGATAGCCGAGTGGTGAGCGCGCAGGTGTGTGGTCCGGACACAATCGACCTGGGGATCGAATCCCCTTGATTATTCAAGTTTTTCTTTTAAGAAAATTGACACTCCTGACACAACGTCGGTGTGAATCCGACTAGGTCTGCAGCAATGTAAGGAGGTCGACTTCACCACCTACTCAGCAGGTCCCGAAAAAAAGTTCACCCCCAACAGGACTCGATCCCCGGGCCGACGGTTTCCGGACCATAACCCAGCGTGCTCGCCACTCGGCTATCGGCCGGACATGTCGACAGCGAGTTCAGAACTCGATGCTGCTTTACGAGTCTTGGTCTCCCGTATTGCACGCGTGCGAGAGTCTTTTTTGTGCGTTCGCTCCTTCGTAGTAGAGAGCGGAGGAGAGAGAAGTAGTTTGTAGCTACAAACAGGGACGGCCAGCAGCGAGTGGAAAAAATTTCCGGGGACGGGATTTGAACTAGCGACCAAGCCGATGCCGTGTCGTAACAACGATGGGCGCTTTAGCAGGCTCGACGGCCTGCTCACCCTTTCCGTTGAGAGTTCTGAGGTCACTCCTGCCTTACGGGAGACAAGACGTGAAAAAACAAAAACAAGTAACAATTAGTTCACCCCGGCCGGGAGTCGATCTCTAGGCCGATGGTTTCAGGTAAACCACGCCTTAATGCGCTCGGCTACCAGCTGCGCCTACACTGCGAGACGACGGAACCCAGTCCTTTCGTAGGAGAGACAAGAAGTAACAAAAAAAAAGTTGCCCCGCCTCGGCCGGGAGTCGAACTTTGGGCCGACAGTTTGTGACGGACACGCCACGCCGTAGCAGGCAGACAAAGAGCGAGGAAAAAGTTTGCGCCGGCCGTGGTAGTCGATCTCTGGGCCGACGATGACCAGCGGACCATTTCCTGGCACGCTCGCCGCTCGGCTATGACCGCTACTGCTGTACCTCTTGAGTGTTTGGCCTCCAGATGGTTCGGACACATTTTGTGTCCACCAACTGGGACGAAAACAAGACTCTGCTCTGCTGAAGTGCGGTGCGGAGTGCGGCCGGGAGTGGCAACGCCTCACTAGCGTCACGCCGCCGAGCTCTTGAGCAGCAGGGCTGCCCGGCTGGCGGGGGAAAGTGCGTGACGCGGCGGCGCGCGACGTGTCGTGGCGCCAGGCAGCAGCCGGCACAGGGAAGGACCAGCCGCACTCCCCGGCGGCGCTGCTGGCGTGGCGACACGAGGGACGTCGTTGATGGCGTGCCGATGGCGCGCGCGATACTTTTAATCGTTCTCTCCCAATCGTCGCCTCTCGCTCGCGGAAAGGGCCGGCGATGATGGGATCGCCTCGCTGCTGAAAAGGTGACGGGCGAGAGCCGGGGGAGCCCTTTCGCAGGGGGCTGTCGCGTCCCGCCATCCGTCGCGTTTCGCCGTGAGGTGCTGATGGTGCTGATGCGACGAGCGCCCCCCAACGAGGTCGCCTCGCCGAGGAAAGCGAACGACGCCGCCGCGCCGGCGTTCATCGGACGTCGTCACAAAGCCCTCGCTCGCCATGATGTCGCTTTACAGCCCGACGACCTTTCACACGAGCGTGCGCTCCCGCCCTTCTCGTGTCCGCAGGTGTGTCCACCGTCCCCACGGTGCTGCAGGAGGTGGACGTGGAGGTGATCGCCAACGACCGCTGCCAGAGGTGGTTCCGGGCCGCCGGCCGGAGGGAGACCATCCACGACGTGTTCCTGTGCGCCGGCTTCAAGGAGGGAGGCCGCGACTCATGTCAGGTGGGTCACCTCTGCGATGCCCTAAACACTGTCGGCCGCCGCTTCGCGCATCGCTCCTACTCGTGTGTCGGTGTCCGTGGTATGCTAACGCGACCCCGAGATGGCCCAGTGACCACATTTGTATACAATGCCCGCGGTACCGGCGGCACCGCCCCAGGAAACTTCCATAGACTGCACCTGGTCTTAATTTGTACCCAGTCAAAGTGCTGTAGTACAATAATGATTGCTTCTACCTGAACCGTAACACGAGTGTGGTTCCAACCAGTTTCTAAGCCTTATTTCCTTCTCTCTTTCCAGGGTGACTCTGGCGGACCGCTGACGATGACAATCGAAGGTAGAAAAGCCCTAGTCGGCCTCGTGTCTTGGGGCATCGGCTGCGGAAGGGAACACCTCCCGGGTGTGTACACCAACATACAGAAGTTCGTCCCCTGGATCAACAAAGTGATGGTTTGAGCTGAGCTCAAACGCAGGTGTGAAGTCTTACCAAAGAGCTTTTATGTTATTCGGGCATCCGTTCGACGCCAAAACCTCCACGATACCCGGCACAGTCATGGAAACCATTGACTAAATGAAGTGTATTTCTATGAGAGAAAAGAAAAACAGGGATCTCTCAGCAGTCAATGAGACGGTTCCATGTGGGACGTAGGAGCACCTCAGGGATGATTCGGCGGTGAATGAGTTTGATTTTGCAATAGCAAATGTTTCAAATCAGGCTCTAACCCATGGATTTACAACGATCAAAGGGCTTAAACACCTAAGCCCAATACAAGTCTAGTGCCTCAGGTAGTCGTCTCCAGTGGCATCAGATGGAGAATGAGCTCCTTGATCTACTTTTGAAGATGCAGAAATATTTTATTTGTTTGATTGGAGAATCATTACAGAATTTAATATTTCATCAAAATGTTACCACTAAGAGTTCTTTACCACATCACACCAAACAGCTCAAGCTGTAAAACATGTTAAATCTACAACAGTGCCAACTGTCATAACATTTCTATACGTTTGTAAATTCTGACTGAGGCGATAGTAATACCTTATTTTTTACTTCTAATTTAATACTTTTCCGGTGTGTCTGAGATTGCGCTTCATCCTGAAGACTGTTACGTTAAGGGAAAGTGTGTCTGTAAATATATTTATATGATGGGCTTGACTGTGACTTAGGAATCAATTGTGGTGATACTGTGTTTCCATATGTGATAATCATATGCTGCAATGGCCTGTTACCTCAGGAATACCTTGTCATAATAAGTCTGTTTAGAAAGATTATCATAACTGCAGTATCATGTGCGCTGACTGAGATTGTACCACATTGGTATCTTTGCGCAAAATGAATGTAAGAAATCTGTTTTAAGAACTAACAGTTGAGAATTATTCACCACTTTGTGCTATTTATTTATTTTTATTGAGATAAGAAACATAGCTTAATGAAGTTTAGAATTCAATACCTAGCGATTAAATATTGCATTTCAGGAAACAAATCAACCAGCCTTGTTCTCCAAAAAAGATGGAAATAGTCAATTTGTGGAGGACTGCCTTTTTTAAAATTTTGTACTTGTAGAAGATGAGTTATCATTTCTTTCTAGAAAGTACATTAGTGTAAATATGGATAAAGCGGACTAATGGTAAAATATAAAAATTTGCAAGCCATAAAATTTTATTGTCCTTGAACCCTTGCTCCCAAAGACAAGGCTCACAACTCTTTATCCAGGTCTGCTCTGGCACATTAAAAATACATTTCTAAAATAAATAACAGGAATAAAAATGCTGAACAATATGGCAGTTGTAACCAAAAAACATGATAAAATTGAGTCAAGCAACAATAAACAAAACAAAATTGAAAAAATATAATCACAGGAGTACACGATTTGCTTTTACTGTAACATCACCTAGATATGATTGTGGCAGTTGAAGTACAGTTGAGAAAATTCTCCTACTTTAATAAGGCCTCTAAGTACAATGCTATATGTGATGTTCAAAAATTAATATCATACTTAAACTGAAAAGAATTTTCTAAAAATTCTACATCAGCAAATTTATTGTATCTAACTTCAGTATTCTCAATTTTAATATCGACTGTTATTGCTAAAGTACAGTACAGGATCAAAAAAATCCAGCTGACTTTTGTGAGGTGAGTTCTAAAGTTCATAGACTTCTAAAATACATACTTCTGATCTCTGGAATATGACTTGTTAAAAGTTAAATGGTTTTACTCCATCTATGTCACTCACCACTGCTTTTTCAGGAAGTTGATCAGGCCATTAGTAGAAGAATCATGAGATGAAATGGGGCTCTTGTCCGCAAGCTCTGGTTCAATAGCCTTGGCAAGCTGCTTACCAAGCTCAACTCTACAAAATGAAAATAAAACCTAGTTGTTAACACACGGAATAAAAAAATTTGATAAGATAGATGATGGCCAAACTTACCCCCACTGATCAAAAGAATTGATGTCCCAAATAACTCCTTGGGTAAAGATTTTGTGCTCATACATAACTGCAAAAAATAAGAGCATATATAGAACAAGAATATTGCAGTTGATAATCCTCCAAAATGTTGAGTCTTACCAATAAGGGCTCCCAATGTGAAAGGTGTTACTTTGTTTACAACAATGGAATTGGTGGGACGATTGCCGGGGAAGACCTTGTGAGGTAAAATATGTTCTAGGTCTGGGCTCTTCATTCCAGAGTCTACAAGCTCTTTCTTTGCTTCCTCTTCAGTCTTGCCCTTCATCAAAGCTTCAGTTTGAGCTAGGAAATTAGCCAGAAGAATCTAAAATTCAAACACACAAATAAACAAATAAAAAAGTGGTCCAAATCGGTTAAAAACTTAATTTTTCACAAATAAATGTCTTACCTTGTGATGAAGACCTCCACGAATTGGGTTGAGAGTATGTGCTGGAGCGATGAAATCAGCAGGTACAACCCTGGTACCTTGATGTAGAAGCTGGTAGAAAGCATGTTGGCCATTGGTACCAGGCTCACCCCAAACAACAGGACCTGTGCTGTAGTTTACAGCGTCTCCACTGCGGGTCACTCTCCTACAAGGGAAACAGTGTTAAAGTAGTGAAATTAAGTTTACATTTCATCATAGATAAATATGATACTTACTTTCCGTTAGATTCCATGTCACCTTGCTGGAAGTATGCAGCAAACCTGTGCAAATACTGGTCGTATGGCAAAAGGGCATGGGTTTCAGCTCCATAGAAATTGTGGTACCAAACTCCTAGCAAAGCAAGGAGAACTGGAGCCTGCAAAATGAAAAAAATTTCACACTTAAACCACAGAGCTAAGCAGAGCTTAAAATATTTTGAAAAATAGGAAATTATATGCACTTGCATTTTTTTCAAGGGGAGCTGTCTGGAAATGATTGTCCATGTAATTTGCACCATCCAACAACTGCTCAAAACGATCATAACCAATGTACAGGGCAATCGAAAGACCAATGGCAGACCAGAGGGAGTAACGTCCTCCAACCCAATCCCAGAAACCAAACATGTTTTTCTCATCAATTCCAAATTCCTTCACTTTCGGACCATTTGTTGACAGGGCAACAAAGTGCTTGGCAACTGCACTGGGCTGTAAACCATTAGAAGGGAGTTAAATATAGGTTATGTGAAAGAAAAACAACACAGCTTCATTATCATGGCAGGGAACTTACATCCTTTGCTGAAGCAAGGAACCATTCCTTAGCAGAAGTGGCATTTGAGATAGTTTCTTGGGTGGTGAAAGTCTTAGAGGCAATAATGAACAGAGACGTTTCTGGGTTCAGCTTCTTCAGTGTCTCAGCCATGTGAGTGCCATCAACGTTGGAAACAAAGTGCACTCGAGGACCGACAGCATACGCCTTCAGTGCCTCAGTGACCATAAGGGGTCCCTAAAATCGAGGTCCAAAATGAAAATTAATTCTAAAAAGGTACATTAAAACATTAATCTCGTATGAAGACAAACTTACAAGATCAGATCCACCAATACCAATATTGATCACATCTTCAATAGGTTTGCCAGTATAACCTTTCCATTCCTTGTTGATCACCTGACCACAAAATTCTTTCATGTGGCTAAGCACAGCATTCACATCAGGTGTCACATCTTTGCCATCAACAAGGATAGGGGTGTTTTTCCTGTTACGAAGCGCAATATGAAGAACGGCACGGCCTTCAGTGAAGTTGATTTTCTCTCCCTTGAACATAGCATCTCGCATGGCCTCGACTTTCCTGTCTTTAGCCTGTGAAGAGATTTGAACAGGTTAGACAGCACCATAAAAGAAGCAAATAAATGATTTTATTCAAAAGTTAAACATACCAATTGAATAAGTTGGCCAAGAATCTCATCATTGATGCGGTTTTTGGAATAGTCCAAGAGGATGGGTCCATCTTTAGGAGTGTCAAGTGTCAGGCTGAATAAACAAATAAAAGCTTATAAAACCACCTTGGAAAAGATAATCATACGGTCATACTGAAATAGTTACATCATCAAAATTAGCACCCATTTCACAAGAACTAAAACTCAAGAATGAATTAATGAAACTGCTTTGAGCAATTGGACACAAGCAGAGAAACAATTTAAATACATAAAATTAATTTGTTTCAGATCAAAACCCATGATGAAAGAATGATGAAATATGCAGTATTTAATTGATTTATGAATTAACAGTTAGTAACTCAATCTATAGAGCCTCAGCAATCTTCTAAATATGTTCTTTCAGATTAAGGATTCAATTAGCATTTCAACAGTCATGTCCAATTTGACTGATAGTAGTCTGATGTCAAAGTGACACCAACTGTCACAGTAGTAACATGGAAGAATGGGATTGTTACTTGACACTGATCTCTGTTTATATGGTAGCATGTGCGTGTTAAAAGGGTGAAAACACACAAAGTACCATTGAGAAAGCAGCAAACTACCGCGTAAACAACCGCAATGTCAGTTCAAGGTTAAGGTTACGTACCTAAACTTCTCAAATCGTTTAGGATCTTCTTTGAAAAGCTGGTAGATGTTAAGCTTCTCGCCGACAGCAGCGTAGGTTTCCTTCAGCTTTTTCCATGACTGTTCATCGGTCAGCTTCATGATGAACGAAAGAGAGTGACTTCTAACTGAAAGGAAGGAGAGCAACCGGAGCACTGCGCTGGACAACCTCCACTTCGTCTGCTACCAGCCGTTCGCCGACAACGACCTCCGACTTTGACTCGCCACGGCGCGGCCAAGTGCTACCAGTCTTTGAACACAAAAATTTGACTTTTCAATGTCAGGTGTTTAGCTGGTGCTCCAATAGACGACAAGTCATAAATATCTTTTCATGATTATTGATGTCCAAGCGTTATGATGGGCCACAAGTGTCACTCGAGTACCTCTTCTTTACCATTTAATCACCGGTAGTTTTCCCTGGCCGGAAGACGGCTCCTGAGCGCGAGACTTGGTTGAGTCCGCGTAACCTTGCGCGTAACGAGCGATCTGCTCGTGAGAGGCCCGGAATGACATGCTTTTTTTGTGTGTGTTGTTCTGCATTCAGACCCGTCACCCATATTTCATATATTTTCAATTGGGTTAGGCCTATTCAGTTATGAAATTAATGTATTCACACGTTGCGAAGATATTTTGATGACTCTATGAAGAACCCCACCGCCCCGACCAGGACCACATCAGAACCCTATACCAATACCTTCCTAAAGGGGCACAAAAATTTCTCCTTAGGTGAGGTGAGGGTGATTGAATGAGTACCTACGTAAATTTGGACGTAAGACATTGCGAGAAAGATTGATGTTATTCTGACATAAAAGAGACGTTATTGATACTTTTTCTGGAACATTTTTGTTCAGTCTCAAAAACCACATCATTATTTTTGGAAAATTTAGACAAAATCATATGCTAAAAATTGCTTCAGATAATGAAGAAAAGTTTGGAAGTAGGGGAGGGGACAGGTGGGCGAGAGGAGAGAGCACACGGCCGAGGGAAGAGAGAGAGGAAGGTGGCGAGGATGCGGGAGAGGAGAGTCCTCACCAATCATTTTGACCTACACCCTGCCCGCGCAGCGCGCGAGCCTCAACAACTCCCTCTGAATTAGAAGGAGACCAACTTTAGACGTTGGCGGCGCAGCGCGATCGCAAGGTCGCCGAGGAGCTGCCCCACCAGGACCCCAGGACCCCAGGACCTCTGGACCCCTCCGCCCGTGCAGCTGCAAACAAGAGATTAACCCCTTACTAGAAGCTGTTACGATTATCTTTAGTGTAGCCAATAGTGTCGCGCATTCTATTATTCAATAAACATTGTTGGTTATTCCCCAACATTGCAGTTAGCAATCCTTCCCCGGGGCGCTGCGGCCCCTCTGCTCTGCAACCCGTTTCCTCCCACCGACGGCGAGACGATCCTCACGGCGAATGGTTATGATACGCTGCGCTTGCAGGACGGCTGGACGCGTCTGCCAGTTTCAATAGAGCGAGCTGGTCGGGGTCGGGCTGGGCTAGGCGCGGCTAGGCGTCGCGCAGAGTTGACCGACAGCCCCGAGGGAGAGCGGCGGTGGACAGTGGACGTGGATGTGTCCGACCTCGCCCAGGGCGTGTCGGCTTCGGGAGGCTAATCATCGTTGGGCTCGTCCAGCACCCATCACCGCACGCAACGCATAGACTTCGTGCCCTGCACCGTGGGACGGGGGGG